AATAGGTTTGCGAAGTATTGGCCCAAAGAGTCCTCCCTTTCGTAGACATTGAATGATATGATGGGCTTATGATTGCATTCAATGAATACTATTAATACTTTCAATACGATTACAATTAGTAACAATTGAGACATATTTGCACAATTTTGACACTTAAATATTCATACAACTTACGGTATATTCAAACATTAAAACGCTTTCACATATGAAACAAAAACTTCACACAAGTATTGCATAACATGTTTGCACAAAGTTTTTTAAATTTGCATCTTTTGAGGGACTTTCAAATGATTTACAACTAATATTACAACAATTAGCTAGGTTATATTCGAAGAACTTTATATTTGATTAATTTATATATCCATACTCATATAACTAGATGTTTATTAAACTTTTCGCAACAAATACAATTGAATTGAATTAGTATTCAATGACAACTAAATAAGCCATGAATTCAATGTCTAAACATTTCCCTAACATTGCGTCCAAAATGCAGTCAATAAAGGCTTTCAATAAATGTTTGCTTTGTTTTCAATCCAATAATTATCTATTAATCCATAAAATTAAAGTAAAAAACTTTTATTCATTCAATTGTTTGTCATATAATTATAATAAGACTTGAATTACAGGTGAATATCACTGCAAACACAGCTCACAAGCGGTGTCTAAACTCATGGCTTATTGACACTCAACTCAAGCCATTCACCAGTTGTGGTCAATATGAACGATATGACAGTAAAGTATCACCAAATGGTTTGGCCATCAGATGCCTGTCGACACAGGAATCTGCGAAAACAGATCCAAAGACACCGCAAACAAACCCATTGACAGAGGAGTCAATCTCAGACGAGAGGAAGGGATCCGATGTGAAGATCGCCGGAATCGTTGGCATTCATCAGTGGGACATCAAGAAGAGGGTCCGCGTGAAGGAGTGGATCAGTGTCTTCCACTTCCCATACATCGCACACTTGAGAACTGTGCAGAGGCTGAAGATATTGCTGACCATCATGTGTGGTGTCTTAATACCCGTCAGTTACACGTTATATGCCTTTGATATGAGATCTCTGGAGGCGTGTCACGTGTCGACCGCTTTGGGTCTGTCCTCACTGTTTATGCTATACTTCTTCGGTATAGTCTTCAGGCGATACGTCGGAAGAGTGTATATATCGGACACGGAATCGTTGGTACGATTGTCTCATTTGTCATTCTTCGGCAATCGTATCGACACCGACGTCGAGATCGACGATATCGTGCCCTTAAGTGATAGCAATTATAACCTCAAAGACTGGTTCTGTCGGATCGAGAGGTACAGCACTGAAGACCTCTTATATATGTCCCTAAAATACGGCGGAATCACTAATAGGGAGGGCTTTGACAAAGTTTTCGGCAAAAACGTGTCTAAAACACTGAATTGAGTGCTAATTGTGTTTATTTGTCATATATTATAGAAATTAATGAATAGTTTTAAGTGTGAATAAAATGTTTCAAAACTTTGTGTTCAATAATGTGTGCGAAAGTGAAGTGAATGTGAATTTGCCGTCAATTATGACAGCAATGAATGTGCGAACGAAACGCATAACAGGTGTCGCTATCTGTCACTCAAACATTGTTTTTGTGTT